TTCCTAATAAGAGACAAATTTAATATATTTACTTTAAAAATTTATGTTACTAATTTTGTTTTCATTGTAATATTTCTTTCCCACTTCTTAGATCTATTTCACTATTTTAAATCTTTCGTAAATTAATGTTTCAGGTTTTGAAGCAGAAAGTTCATTAATGGGCCTCAAATATTTATCCATGGACAATTATTGGAGAAAATCAATCATCCATTATTGTATCAACAGAACGTTCTTCTTGTTTTGAACGTAACAAAATTGCATTACGTATGGATGTTCTCTGTCATAAAAAATCTTGTCCACATGGTGGTGTTGGTATTTCCAATCCAGGTTTTTGGGAATGGTGAGTATCAATTAATACGACATTTTATTTATCTTATGAAAAAAATAAAGTTATTTATAATATTTGTTCAATGTTTTTATAAACAGAATATTATGGAAGGAAGAAATATAAAGTAGTGTTCTATGTTAGATCACTTGGTCCAATTAAATTACAAGTTTCATTTGTTGGATCTGATAATGGTGTCAAATTAGCTTCAAAAAAAATAAGGTTATAATTATATTTATTTAATTTATTATTTGAAACTACATCTTGTTCATTATTTTATTATTATCAAACTAAAATTACTAATTATTGAGTTATTAATGAATGAATGCCAGAGCTTCTGGAGTTAATGTTACAAAGTGGAGTAAGATGGAAACAATTCTTGAAGCCAAAAGTACTAATCATAATTCAAATCTACAAATAACAACAACCAAAAAAGGAGTATTATGGTTAGATCAAGTCTCAGCCATGCCTTTAGATACATATAAGGTATATTATGCATAAATTTATTTTTATATTATTTATTTATTTATTTTGAGATTATTTAGTTTTTTTCTTTTATAAGAATTTATCTCATTAATCATTATTGGACATAGGGTCATGGTTTTAGAAATGACCTTTTTCAAATGGTGGCAGATTTAAAGCCAAAAACTTTTAGATTCCCAGGTATGGTACAATATTATTGAGTTGGAATAGCTTTAAGTAGTTGTTTCTTTAAAGGAAAATTTTGATTCATATCCATCTTCTTCTTTTTTAACTTTACTAAGTTACAAAAATATAACATATTTTTTTACATAGGTGGTTGTTATGTTGAGGGAAATTATCTAAAAAATGCATTTAGGTGGAAAGATACAGTTGGAGCATGGGAAGAGAGACCTGGCCACTATAATGATATGTGGAAGTATTGGACCGATGATGGATTTGGTTATTTGAAGGACTTCAAGTAATTTTTTATGTTGTAAATATTAATATTTTTCTTTTCAAATTAAAAAATATTAATTTTTTTTTGTGTATTAAACAGTTATCAGAGGATCTTGGTGCATATCCAATATGGGTGTTTAATAATGGTATTAGTCACCATGATGAAATTAATACGTCTGAAATTTCACCATTTGTAACAAGTATAATTTTCTTAATATTATTTTATTAACTAATTTTATTTGTAATTTTAATTAATCAATTCATTGTTTTTTATACTTTTTATCATTAATTAATAGGAAGCTCTAGATGGTATTGAGTTTGCTAGAGGTTCTACTCAATCAAAATGGGGTTCTCTTAGAGCTTCCATGGGACATCCAAAGCCATTTGATTTGAGATATGTTGGAGTTGGAAATGAAGATTGTGGTAAATATAACTATCTAGGAAATTATCTCCAGTTCTATAAAGCTATAAAATATAGATATCCTGATATTCAGATCATCTCAAATTGTGACGGTTCTCATATCCATTAAATCATCCCGCCGATCTTTATGATTTTCATGTAATAATATTGTTGATTTAATTATTAATTTATTTTTCAATTTTTTATTATTATTATCTTTTTTAATTATTAAATTTTAATTTAGGTTGAGTAACTTACATCTTATTATTGTTAATTTTTTTTCAACTATTAGATTTATACAAATTCTAAGGACATGTTTTCCCAATATACCAAGTTCGATAAAGCACCACGATCTGGTCCAAAGGTTTAATTATTAAATATATTTTTTCATTTATTTATAAAATAATGAATTATATTTTCTAGAAGGCAGATTAAACATTTAAAAATTTATTGATATAGAAATTTGCTCATGTTTTATTAATTTCATTTTATAGGCATATGTTAGTGAGTATGCTGTTTGGAGGGAAGATGCAGGTAATGGAAGCCTTTATGCAGCTTTGGCTGAAGCTGCATTTCTTATTGGACTCGAAAAAAATAGGTTAGGTTTTATTATATATAACATTTTCCGTTACATTTAGTTTATAAATTTTGTGTGTTTTTTGAGCTAAATTTTAATCATTTTTCAATTTTCTACAGTGATGTTGTCAGCATGGTTGCCTATGCACCCCTCTTTGTAAACACAAATGACAAATAGTAATTTTCTAATTTCTCATCATTTATTTTTAATTATCATTTATATATGTAAAGAAATAGATGATTTATTTATTTACTTTTTACATATGAAACAGTTGGATTCCTGATGCAATTGTATTCAACTCTTATCAAAATTATGGGACTCCAAGTTATTGGCTCCAACAATTTTTTATTGATTCTAATGGAGCAACCTTTCTTAATTCAACTCTCCACAACTCTTCTAGCTCAATTGTTGCCTCAGCAATTCTGTATAAAAATTCTCAAGATGGGAAGAATTATCTAAAAGTCAAGGTAAAACAACACAAATTTTTATCAAGAATAAATATTGATTTAAAATATTTAATTATTAATTAGTTAACTTTGCAACTATTGACTTGTGCAGGTAGTAAATTTTGGAAACTCGACTGAGTATTAGAGATTTTAATAAATAATTTAAAATCAAATGTGCAACAATCTGGTTCATCAAAAGTGATGCTTACATCCTCGAATAAAATGGATGAAATTCTTTCTCCGAACCAACAAAGGTACACTTTATGTTTTAACGCAGTATGTAGCTTGTCATACGTATATATGGTGATTTTTTGAAATCAATTTCTTTATGTTTTAATTAAGTTTTATTTTGATAAGTTGTTTTAATTTATGGTTAATCAACATTGATTATATAAAAAATTCTAATACATGATTTTGTTTCATTTTGTATATGTACAGATTGTGCCCAAAAGAACTTCACTTGAAAATGCAAGAAATGACATGAATGTTGAACTTGCTCCCTATTCAGTTACATCATTTGATTTATTAATTAAAACACTATGGTGGAATATTTTTTTAGAAGAAATAAGATGGATGAAATGTATATATTTATATTTATATTACATAAAGTATTTCTCGGCTTACCATCCATATGCACTGTATATATTTCTATTTCTATTTCTTTTCATTTCATTTGTGAATTTTTAATATCAAAATTAGTATAAAAAAAATATACTCAAGCCAAAAAGAATTTGATACATTACAGGTTGAAACCCAAATGAAGACAAGAACACATTCAAATCTTGAAACATATGTGAATATTCCTTCTAGTAAAGCGATGGTAAAACTAGTACTTGGAAAATATGTCTTCATCAAAACTGATAAAAAAATTAAAATATGGTGGAACGTAGAGAGGCGGTTAATGCAAGATATTGAGATAAACCGTGTTAGAATTATAATATCTAGTTTGTATTATATATATAGTTCATTGCGATGTTATAGTTGATGTGGGACTTGTATACAAATATTCTTTAACAAAATAATACATATTCTATCACTTTCCCACAGTCAAAGCGAGAGGTTGACGGATGCTTAGACTAGTCTGTAAATCATCAAGATAACTCTAGGGAGGCCTTTGGTGAAGATATCAACAATATGGTTTGAGAAGGAACATGAAGAATGTGGGCTTGATCACGAACGACCTTCTCTCGGATAAAGTGAATGTCCATCTCAATGGTGTTTTAGGAATGAACATGAAGATGCTGGATAGGATTGTCGAATAGGAAGATAGAACTAACATTGTCATAGCATACAAGAGTATCCTGGGGGAAATAGGAAAATTAATCTCCAACAGAAGGTTGCAGATTCAACATGATTCTTAAACTTCATTAATAATGCCCTGGTACTCACCCTCTGCACTAGAACGGGAAAGTGTGGGGTTGTCTCTTGGGAAGACCATGCATTTAGGTTCTAAAAAAACACAATAACCCAATGTAGATCGACAAGTGTCGGGACATCCACCCCAATTAGCATTTATGCAGGAAATAAATTTCTTGATGGGAGAAGGATAGAGATGCAAACCATATTGTAATGTGCCTTGAATGTAATGTGGGATGCGTTTTAGTGTAGGCACGTGCTCAATGCAGGGAGAGCATGCATGTAAAGACACACATGTTGGACAATATATATAGGAGATGCCGAGACGGGTAAATGTGATTTACTTCATAGTGTCAAGGCTCTGATATAATGTAGGATCATCATATGGAGTATGGGAAGATGTATTTAGATTTTGCTTGGGTGTCAACGGGAACAGAGGAAGGTTTTCATGAGGCCATGTCTGCTCGAGCAATAATATCATTAGTGTAGGTACTGTGACTAAAAAATAGTCCTTCTGCATGTCGTGTCACTACAATACCCATAAAATAGCCCAGCGGGTCCCAGATCATTTATAGCAAACTCATAGGCAAGAAGCCCGATGATAGATTTACATAGGTCATGAGAGGAACGGGTGAGGATGCTGTCATCAACATAAAGTAAGATGTAAGCCGTGTCGGCGCCACGATGGTAGATGAAGAGAGAGTGATCAAAGGTATAATAGTGAAATCCAATGATGAAGGTATAGTCAGCAAAATATTGGTACCAGGAACGAGGGTGCATGCTTCACACTATTGAGAGATTTTTGGCAAAGCGACACACATAATCTGGGTGATAGGGTCGCGGAAACCCAATCGTTGTTGTATATAAACCGGTTTCATGAATATCTCCATGAAGAGCAAACGAGCGGGAAAAAAAAAACCCTTTGACGATCTCTCTTATCACGAGTGTACATTAGAATTTTTGCTTTTAAATGAGGTAATAAGCTCTTGTCCTATAATTTTTTTCTATATATAAAAATATTTTAATCAACAATATGTTTTTTACCGTATTTAAATATTATTTTTATTTTAGCGTTATTTATATAAATATTTGAATCAATGGTAAACCTATTCCCCGTATACAAATTTTAATTTAAAAATCATTTTTTTTAGACTTGGTCAAATCTATTTTTAAAATGATCAAACATAATAAAATTAATTGATACACCTTTACAATTACTTTTGATTCTTTTAAAATAGAAACAAAAGATAGTCGTATCAAATTTTTAAAGTATACATATTTTTTAAATTTTAAAAAATAATTATAAATAGAACTAAATTAAATATAGTTATAGTCAATTATACAACATAATTAAATAGAATTAAATATTAGTATTAAAATTAATTATGCAAAAAAAATTAAGTATTGTTATAACAAACTTTAATAACAAACTTAAATATAAAGATACTAATAAATTTTTATCACATTTCTATATTCTATAAAACAAATGCACATAAATAATTTAAATAATCTTATTTGAAGTTTCTTCAACTTATAAAATCAAAATATAACTAAGGTGGAGCAATTGACAATTCTGTAATAGAAGTAAAAAAACTTAAATTGTAGTTATCGTGCATAAACACATTAAAATCCTTTTCTCGATAATTTCTCTTTTGCAAGCAAAAACATGAACATTTTGGTCTCAACTACAAACCCATGCATCTTTGAACATATCATCCTACAATTACAAAACATTTTGATTGTTCGGTAAGCTTTTCAATCATTAAACACTCTTAAATCAAAAAGGTTTGATAACGTAAAAAAAGAATCTTGAACAAATTCAATAAGATTTATATATTGAATACAAAACATTTGCAACATCATACTTCTTTTACTTAATAATTAATAAACTTTTATATTATCATACAATTTTAATATTATTTAATTTAAATTTACTTATTTAATAATAATATTATCATAAATTTCATTTAACATCATTTATTTAAGATAATAATATCAAATTTATATGACATCTTTATTAATAATAAAAAGACTTTAAATTAAGTATTAAATATATTTTTGATCAAAAAAATAATATTTTGAATTATTACAAAAAAAAACTTTAAACTTCTATTAGAAATTGAAATAATAGACATAAGAAATATTTGATATTTTTATTAGACTAATTGAAGTTTAAATGCACATAAACATAAATATAAAATAATAGATTTAAGAAATATCTTCTAATAAAAAATATACAATTGAAAACAAATACAAAATATAATCAACTCTCAATTAGCTTATAATTCAAATCACACCAAAAAAAAACACGATCAAAATAAAAGAAAATTGAATATAGAATCTAAACATTTGTATCATAGTGTAGAAAAATCAGAGGAAAAGTTGGAAACAACCTGAATAGCAGAAGGATTGCGTGAACAACATAAGTTTTGAGTTAAGTGGCTGTGTACTAATGTTCAAATTTCTAAGCTCATCTTCTTCATTTACTCTTTAATGAAAACATGTCCACATCCAACAACCAAAACAAATCTTAGCTTAATTCCAAGGAAAATTAACTACCATATTTTGTTTGAAATATAAAAGAAAATCAAAAATGCTCAAGTGTGTTGCTACGGTCAAATTGGATGCAATACCACCAGCACTCAAGGTCATGATAAAATTCTACATTATGTTTCAACATTATATCTATTATCAACAACACCCTGAGTGGACCGTAAAATGCTTCCATTCAACGTAATGCAAGATATTCTATATTGTAGTTAATGATATATTTTAGCTCATAGTGATGCATTTTACATATATCAGTAGAGTACAAGTTTAAAATTAATTTACCTTCTACAAAGAGTAGTATATAAGATCTAAGAATGATATAAATTGGCTAAAAACAATTCATTTTATAGAGATACCTCTTTCAATCGTGAATGCTCATTACTGAAACTTCTTCGGATTATTACAATATGTGACTGCAAAAACGTGAAGGCAAGAAACTTCAAGTAATTTTCTATGCACTTATAAAATGTGATCCACAATATTTTTACAGCTCCGAAAAATAAAATAGATATAAAATCACCAAAGCTTGAAGATAAAATTGTGATAGATATGAGACTACACCTCCTTCTTCAAGTTACTGAAGTTTTTTTCCTCTTCGGACTAACATTTTTTTATACTCCTTCAAAGTTTTAATTTAAATTTGTGAATTTTGAATACTCCAAAATAGATTTAGAATCATAAGACAAACAACATTAAAATTTAAATTTTATTATTACAACAGTCATAAATGTTATCATGTCTATTTAAAAATTATTAACCATGTGTTATATCTTTATTAAAATGAACATCAAATAAATAAATATTATTTATTAAAAAAGGACATCA